AGTAAGAGTTAGTAAGGTAATGTTATCATGTCATACTTGTAGTCTTTTAATTTGCTCTCTTTCATCAGCAATCCTTTTCCTGAGTTCATCTCCTATTAAAGTCAGCTCCTATAAAAACAAGTATAATTACCTTTTGTTTTTGTCCAACAAACTGTAGTGTATTATTTCAGCATAATAAAGAATCCTAGAGCCGATGTAGTTAAGCTCACAAAATCAAAATATATATATATTTTTAATACAGTACCTCATTTTCAATGGTGAGTTCAGCTTCTGAAGCTTCAAGCACTTTAATATGTTCTGTGAAGGAAATAAAGTAAATAATTTAAAATAGAGTACAGACACTAGAGTACAAACACTAAAACTGTGCGACATAAATACCACTAAATACTGGCAGCTAGATTATGCTAATTCTATTGTTTTCTACTGTTTAATTAACACTCTTTTGTAGTAAATAGTGGAAGTGTTGCACACATTTAATGTTTGTACTCTAAAAGTATCCACCATAAATACCACTAAATTTATATTTATTTATTGGCAATATTAATACAGACAGTACATTTAATTAATTTATATTATTTCAAATTAAGTGCTGTTTAAACTGGGGCCTTTTATAGAAATAATACTCCCAAATTTTGATAATTTTGGTGAACACTGCACAGACATTTTCACCTGCTTCATCTTTATCTTTTTTATTTTGTTTGCTGTCCTTTTTCTGCTTAGGTTTAGAAGCTTCTTTGGCTGCTTTTAACTGTAATAAAAAAACAACAACAMAAAGTTGATTTGGATTTGTCACAGGACATGGTTTTTGTTTGCATCCCCCCCCTCCCCCCCTTCTGATAAAAAAAATGAACAGTCCCTTAGAAGAATAAAGTACCTTTCTTTTTAATTGTGTTACWGTCCTTTGCACTTCCCAAAGCAACTCATTAGCCTATAAAATGAAAAAAAAAAAACATGAAGAAAAAATAACAAAAAATAATGAACAACAAAGGAAGCTTTCAGTGAATAAAGGAAAGTTATAGTGCTGGAAGTTATTCTGAAAAAGACCTTTTAGCAATAAATTCAGAACAAAGTAATTTCTGACCTTGCTGGGATTTGAGCCCATGAAGTTTTAATTAAGTGACATGAAAATGATTAAGCAGGTACGGTAAACAACTTACATCATCATCGTTTGTGGTCTGCATTTTGACATGAAGCTCTGCTAGCAACTCCTCTTGTTTTGCGAGAGCTGARGCTATAGCACTGTGATGAACATAATACATCATCAAAATGTACATCAATGTTTAGACTGATATCAAAGAATGAATGTAAATAAGGAAAAATATCGTACTCTGGACTGCTTGGTAAATCAGCTTCATCTTCTTCTACTCTAAAAGTCAGTGGACCAGTATATCTATGTAATCCAATAATCAATAAACAAATCAATGAGTTTAGCAAGAAATATAACAAATGAATAAAACAAATGAAAACAATGAATAAAATGAACATGTCAAATGGATGAAAAAGTGGATAAACTAATAAATGAAGAATAAAATAAATACATACAATTAATAAACGAATGGAGGAAAAGGTAAATAAGTGGGCCAATTACATTTAATTATGATAAGAATAAAATAAAAAAATAAATAAATGAAATATGAACAAATGAATGAGAGCAATGAATTTTATGTGAAAAAGGTTAATAGAAATAAAAAATATATATATCTTACACTTTCAGTTGCGTATCAGGGAATAACTCCTCAACGTTAGAAAGGAAAATAAACAGAATGCCATGGTTGATGCTCATTGTAGGACTAAGAACTATACCAATGTTTTGAATACTCATTTTATTGTCTGAACCCTGCAGAGAAAAGAAATGTATTTAAGAGGGAGAGAATGATGAAAAAATGAATGACTGAAATTCATTTAAGGTCACAAATGCATCCAAGAACTTTTTTATTTTTTTTTCCATTTCTTTTCTTTTTGCATTTCTTTTTTTGGTTTCATTTCTTTTTTCATTTCTTTTCTTTTTTTATTTCTGTCCTTTTTGCATTTCTTTTCTTTTTTGCATTTCATTTCTTTTTTCAATTCATTTCTTTTTTTCATTTCATTTCTTTTTTCATTTCATTTCTTTTTTCATTTCTTTGCTTTATTCATTTAATTTTCATTTCATTTCTTCTTCTTTCACAAATGATCTCTTTTTGTTGGTGCTTTGGAGAACATTTTGTTGGTTGGAGAACATTGTGCATTCAGGTCCTTTGATGCGCATGGCCCTTAAATTTGAATGGAAAGTGTTGACAAATACATGTACATACTCTGTCAATGACATGCTTCATGTGAGTAAAAACCCATGAAAGAAGTGTCCTATTCTCTACTGGCATTTCTTTTATTAGCTGTTTGACTTGATTCAACTGTTCCTTCTTGTCCTGCATTCCTATACAACAATAGTTTAAAAGTCAAAATATTGTTGACTAAACGTATATTATAATGGTTTTGAAAGTCAATCAATGTAGCAGAGATATAGTAAGTCAGAAATTTAGAAAATAGAAAATATAGCAAAAATAAAGAAGACAATGTAGGATAGTAGTAGAGATATAAACATTTTTACCAAGAAGTTCATTAAACTTTGGAACTAGACTYGTTGTGAGAACATTTTCAGGTAAATCTCGGAGATAACTCTTAACCACGGCTGCTACAACCTCTGGTTCATACTCTTTTAAGTCAACAGATTTTCCTGTTCAAAAAAATATGAACAAACATATGAGCTTTTGTGATTAAATATGTTTAATATCACTGGTTAAAAAACATTTCTATTGTCATCAAGACATCTATAGCCTGGCAAAATATGACCAGGTTGACAATGTCTGGCCAAACTTTCTGTTTGATGGTCAAATCTTTACTATATGTGGAAGGACTGATGCTTTGACCAGTCAAACTTGAGATTTGTCAGACATAATCTTAGCATATGGCAACGTCTGCTGTAATTTTGTTGTTACCTTCATTATACAGTTCCTTCAAACCATCAACTTTTGATTTTGCTCCTGAAACTCTATAGATCCCCTCAATACCCAAACCTAAAAATAAATAATAAATTATTGTTATTATTGTACTGTAATAATCAGCTTTTTCACTTGATTCAAAAAGGCTGACTTTGAGAAAATTTAAGACTTCTCCTCAGGCAGCTCCTGATACTCCTCATTTTTTTCTTCTTGGGCTTCCTTTGTAACAACTTTGTAACAACACAGGAAACCCAAGATCAGAGACAACAAGTCTCCTCTGCAGGCAACTTCTCAATCCCATAATTGGCTTAGGGAGATCCATGTTTTTACACAGGAAGCCCAAAAAACAAAGAGAAACACAGTCATGTCTGCTGAGGATGCTCAAATGCCCTYCTCTTACCATTTTCTTCTATAAATACAATGCCTTCTCTCAAGACTTTGGGCAAGTCGACGCCATCAGGTGATTTACTCTGCTTTACAGCTTGTGCAAGAGGTACACCAAAAATTGGTTTTTCTATGAAAAAAAAAACATTAAAAAAGACATGACTTAGGAGTCTATACTGTGTTATAAATTATATATTGTACACTTTATAGTTTTTAATATTTTATTAACTGATCTTTGTGGATGGCATTTATTATTTTTTATCTGCTTAAATATATAGAGTGCAAGTCACATAAGCATGAAACAATTCTTTACTATGTAGTGCTAAATAAGATTTAGTTATCAACTAACTAAGAATTGAGAACAATGCTACAAAGAAATTTAAATAATTGGCATTGTGTTTATGCTTTGTTGAATTCTTAGTTAGTTGATAAATAAATCATACACTAAAAACCATTAAAAAAAGTAAAAAAAAAGTAATTAAATAATATAAGCAAATTGTACTGAATTATGTGAATTCTTTTGTTTTCTATTGCCTATAATCTACACTATATTTTGCTCTATTTAGCACAATTTGACTTTTTTTACATTATTAGCATACAAATGTAATAGTTCTTTTGTAATGACTGTTAAAGTAACTAAAATTCAACTAGAACAATCTTAGTACAAATCAACTGTACACAAGGGAAATTGAATACAAAGAAACTAAGACATCCTTATCAAACTGTTCCAATTAAGTATTAATTAACTAATGGTCACTAAATATGAATTATTATATATTAATGGAGTGCTTTTCATTAAACCATAAAACAAAGTGTAGTAGTTCAATTGTAATAAAGATTGAAGACAAAGAAAAACATGCAAAAAAAAGAGCTGTATTAAAGTGTAGAACAATACATTATAGTTTACAAGTTAATGAATTCCATGGAAATAGTATACACAGAGAACACTTTAGTGAGATGTAAAGATTACATTTGAGTGATTTCAGCTTTCTAGATCAACCGATAAGAACAATTTCCAATGCCTTCTTTCGCTATGACATCATATCAACAGTTTTTATTGTTTTACTGTTATCTGTACTAAGTTTTATATCCATAAAAGGAGGGAAATGACAAGACAAAAGAAAACACAATAAAACGGCAGAAAAAAAATCATTTTGAAGATCGACAATCAATGAATATAGAGTGGTTTTCAATGGACTGTGAAACAATTACTACTAGTCAGTGTTTAATWGTGTCTAATAGTTGTATTCCAATAAAAGAAAGCAATGGGTGTAGAGTCTTCTAGCATCTATTAGCATAGGAACTATTTCACAGTCTCACGAAAATCACTCTGTTAATATACAAAATAAAAACTAGAGAATTTGAAGTCAGACTTTACAAGAAAATAACGTTTACTCCAAATTTGTCCAAATTAACATTTTCAATGAATCTGTCCCCTGCTGAAAACATGCAGTGATGTCATAATGAAACAGGGGTAAATAATGACTAGAAAGAAATCCTTTTAAGGCTTTTCTTTTAAAATGATCTAACAGGAAACATGTGAGATAATAACAGTATCATGTAATTTGTTGTCATACGAATCAGGAAATACAGCTCTCTGCCTTCCTGGTTTATTTCTTWAAGGACATGAGGATCCAAATCAAATACAAAGCAATAAAATTAAAATGAATGTTTGAATTTGCTGTGATATTTTTCAAATCTATCACAATTTTCTAATCTACAAATAACACATGTAAATAAATTGATGACAAAGATGAAACAAATTGATCATAAAAATGAAACTAGATTATAATCTAAGCAAATTTCATGAGCATGAAGTCTTGTTGTATGATTTCTGGTAGAAAGCTCAAGTGCTTTCTGATATATAACTCAAAAAGCAAGAACTTCACACTGAACAATAATTCAAAATTAGAAAACATGTTTTARCTAGTATAATCCAGGTAAATACATGTAAATTCAAATGGCAAGAGATTCTTATTCCTTATAGCTTTCACAAGATAAGAGAGCTTAAAWCAAGTCAATACTCTGGAGCCTATTAAATATTATAAAACTGTTTTCTCTTGGAAAAAATTCTACAACATGTGAAGAATAATATATAACTTACATTGTAAATGTGTAACAGTACATTTTTTGAAATTGTTTATTTATTTATAATGTTTCAAAAAAAAAGTTAATTTTAAATTACAGTTTTGACTAGTTCAAATAATTATGAGCTTTTTAGGGATCTTTTTTATATTATTACATGTAATACAAAAGAGTGCATGTGAAAGAGTGAAAGATAAAGTGTGACTTCACTTTAAGCTTCCCTTTGAATTGACATAGGGTGGGGTAGTACTTTCACCTGTTGCTGTCCCTCATGACATAACATGACAACWCACAGTTATTTCCCCTCCRCATGACCTTTTACAGACTAAAACTTCATCTATCATTCAAAACCATATAAAAAACTAAAATTTTAACAACATTTGAGCAGTGTGGGAGCTAATTTCAATTAAAAAATTACACAATTTGWAAGAACTCTGTCTCAAACATGTGTAATACTGAATGAAATGAACTTCTGCAATTATAGGAAAATCTTATCTACATTGTGTRTTTAAATGAAATGAAAGTTGAAATTGTAATAGTTTGTAAGTGGAAAGAAAGTACTTTTAAAAGATGGGTTTGTTGTAGTGAATAAAATTGGTCATCGATTAAACAAATGAAAGAACTTTGTCACAAACAAAGACAGTTTAGTCATCACTATAAAAAGAACTKTTATAGTAAGAAAATGTCATCTGTATTTAAATGAAACAAAAAACTTGTAAAAACTGTAATAGCTTGTAACCAGAAATAAATTGTTTTCATACGAGTGTACAATTGTTACAGAGGTGATTTTACCAGAATTTACTCACTTGGTGTGTGACTTGGAGATTGAGGTTCTGCTTTTTTATGTTTTGGTCTTTTTTCTTTGTCTTTATCTTTCTTTTTATCCTTTTTTTTCTTATTGATCAACTTCAACACCACTGACTTTTCCCTCTTGACAGTTTTCTTCCCTCTGTCYCTGTAGAAACAAAGGGAAATTGTAGTGTTAATCCAGAAAGGGTTTCCCCTACATTTCACAAACAAAGCGTCGAAAAAGATTACCACGCTTGAGTGAAACTTCAAATCTACCTATTAAAGTGCGAAACGTGAAGRAAAAGCTCCTTTTTCAAAGGAGGAAAGCACTGGATTTGCCTCGGGACGTGCGTTTGAYTCTCCATTGTAGAACGGTACACGCGTTTAATAGTTTGGCAGCTCACTTACAAACGCTATAGCGAGATTGGAGTCCATTGTTTGGCAAAGACGTCAAGTTGACTGGCAGCTGAATTTACATAAATGGTAGTGGTGAAGCCGATGAATACATTAATACTGAATGCAATCAAAAACAAATTGACCAGCACGCGCATGAAGTGTCACGTCTTAGTCACACTTTCACCTGTACGGGGAAGGGTCCCCTGGAGTTCCTCCTTTGACTCAATTACCGCAGAAATACATTTTCCCCAAAAACTTGCACGCAATCGCCACAGTATAAAGTCTAATCATCTTACTTCTCTTTAGGCTCTTCGCCAGCGCTGTCGCTATCCTCAGCACGAAAAGCCTTGTATCCTTTCTCTTTATCCTTGTCTTTCTTCTTGTTGTCCTTYCTGTCATCTTCCTCTCTYTCCGCCATCTCTTCTTGTGTAAAAGTGAGTTCTAGCGGCGAAAATTATARCCACATCTCATCCACAGCTCGTTATGTTTACGATAATTGAGAAAGCGTTCTGATCAAACGGTAATACACGACGATATTTTGAAACAAGCTTCCGACACTCCCCTCTGTTTATTGTTATCTGTCCGCCATCTTGAATTTTTAAGAATTTTATCACAGAATCGAGGCTGTAGTCCCCAGTCCCCAAAAGCCCGCGATAACTAAAGCCAGCGGACGATGAAACCATGGCGACGACCATGTGTTTTTGTCAGAATTGGCGTCTAATAAAACATAAAGCGAGAAAATAACACGACAATTTCGCCAAAAATCTTTCAATTATTTGTGCTAATTCAACATTTTCCTTTAGCAAACATCTAGTTTAGTATCAGAAGTACAAATCTATTCAGTKGAAAAGAAATTCAAGTGATTTATTTTTCTGGAAATTGAAACAGCTGAGCCACGATGAAGAATCTTACCGAAATGAAGAACGATCTTAATCGAGTTGGATTGTTTAGCGAGTTGGGATACATCTCGATTGGTGATCCTTACAAAAGAAAAAGTTTGAGTAAGTATAAAGTGTGCTCCCWAAGTATAAAATGCAATAAAAATGTGATAAATCTGGTATACCTTTTACATAGCACTTTAGCTCTCTTCACATGCCTTTCGAGTGTAAATAAGCTTAAATTTAAGTATTGAAACTAACAAGACTATTTAAAATACAATTTATGCTATTTTTGATACCAAGGCAGAATTTTCTAAGTACTAGACAAAAAGAAACTAATCTAGAAAAGCTCAAACTTTTTGATTCTGAAAAGTGCAAGACAGTAGATTTTCCTTCAGTTGAAAATAATATTACACCATTCATGTCTAACAATTTAAAACTATTATTAAATAGACTTCAACTTGGCTGCACACAAAGGTAAACAGATGCTTCCAGGGGGGAGCAAGATAAGGTGTGCACGACAGGATGGCTACTTTGAACAAAAGTTTAGTCGCATCATGGAACAAGAGGCCTTCTCGGATCCTGTCAAACGCAGACGACAAGAACGACTGAAAGCTGCAAAGCTGAACATTGGAAAAGCATTTGTTCCTAGTAATGGTGACAAGTGGKCGTAAGTATTTTGTGATGTGACATTTAAAAGTAGGGTATTAGGGAGTTGTAGCAGATTGTATTGTTTGGTGAAAGTGTGATCGGATTGATGGTAGCAATCAGCTGACATTGCAGGGACATAAAAATGTCATTCCCTGATCCCATAATTATTTTCAATGTTAATCCCTAATGCCAAAAAATAGTGATCCCATGTATATGTATCCTTTATATTTGATCCCTATCGCAGTAGTTGTGGTCCCAATCTCTAAAGCCAAAATAAAGCTGACCATTAATATTCTGGTTCCAGAGGTGTGATATTTTCTCTCTTCGCTATTGTTTTTGTTGGCGCCAAGTCAACAATAGTCTCTTTCAACAGCCGCGACTTCCGGTCTTGTCAAATTTTTGGGGAGCAAATTTGATGAGACCGGAAGTGGCGGCTGTTGAAAGAGACTAAGTCAACAAATTTTCGATAAATAATAGCAAAGAGAGAAAATATCAAACCTCGAGAACCAGGGTATTTAAATCCATTAATGTCACAACTCTAAAATTTGAAAGGCACTCAGACTAACAAATTCACTAATTTTCTTTTACATGTAGTTCAGGAGCTGGGAGTCACTATGGGACATTTTCTGGTCCTGTCTCAGCGTTCAGTCCCCTTGGTAAAGGAAAGAAGCCTCATGCGCCTTCAGGAAAAAATTTCTTAACAAATCCCGCCAAAAAAGGAACTGGCTATGGATATTTACATGTTACCATTGGCAACCCTCCCAAGTATATGACTGATGGATATGACAGAGCGAAGGAGATGAGAAAGGTTAGTATAGGAGTAGAAACACTATAGCTTTATCTGGGAAATAAATAGMAGTAATTACTACTAAATAGTAATACTCTGTCAATGATTAGAAAATAGCAAACAAAGGAATTTATTTTATTATTTTTATTTAGTTTTGAAAAAAATCAAATCCTATTTTATAGTCTGATACTGAAAAAAGTTTGAAGAACAGACAAGGYGGTGCCTTCAAGCTGAATCTTCACCCAAAAGATTTCTTTGATGGAAATCCRTACAAATCTGACAGAGGTAACGTTAAAAGGCTACTTGGACGAAAATTTACTATATTGGAAAAAGTTATAGAGTGCACGTCACATAAGCATGAAACAATTCTTAATATGTATTGCTAAATAAGATTTAGTTATCAACTAACTAAGAATTCAACAAAGCATAAACACAATGCCAATTATTTAAATTCCTTTGTAGCATTGTTCTCAATTCTTAGTTAGTTGATCTTATTTAGCACTACATAGTTAATAATTGTTTCATGCTTATGTGACTTGCACTCTATACCACTCTCAACTATTAAAACTGTTTTCTTTTCATTTCTAAACAGCTCTACCACCTGTTAAAGACCTAAGAAAGGCAAAACCAGACTTCAAACCATTCAAACAAAGCTCACCAGGAAAAGAGGTATAAACAAACAAATGTAATAATATTGTGTTAGTACTTTACCRCTTTAATTGATTTTGATCTAATAGGATGTAAAATCCTCTAGCTAGTTGACTCTATTCGAAAAACTGTGACCATGTAGAAATATTTCTGGAATGTTTATTGTTCATTGACGAATCAAAAAGCGAGATTAACCATCAAGTGCATTTTTATGTGCAAATTTGATCAAAACTTCAACGTTACAAGACGTAAGACTGGTTCATCACCAAAAAGCGGTGTGTAAAAGCTCACAAATATAATCTTTTCATTATATTTTGCAAACTGTTTATAGATTGGAGGATGTAAGGCGGGCTGCTTTGATACCTACCCTTCYCACTCCGAAGATCCTTATATGGTGAAAAAGAAGAAAAGTGCTGACGGAGAGAGAAGAATATTCCGACCCTCGCCAGGCCCTAAATCCACACCTATGCGATCCATTATTAATCAAAATGTTGAAAGGTAATATAACATGCCGAGTACTTAATGGATTGCTGGGTTGAAATAAAGAACACAGGGATACCAAGGAACTGTTTTCTAACATCCCATAGTGCTTTATTTCATCAATATACACAGGCAGTCCACCTTTATTACTGATACCTTTCCTCAATATAGTGAATTTACAGGAAAAATAAGGCATATTATTAGAGCCATCCCAAAGTGCTTTATTTCATCAATAAAGATCGGGCAGTTCATCCTTTATTGCTTTTATGAATCATAGGAAAAAAAACTTAACTCCCTCCCTTAATACTGTGCAAATTTACTTGAAACAAGCCACACTWTTATTTACATTATCTACATTATGAGTTTTTTGTGGTATAAAGTTTTCTGYGAGCCAATTGTTTGTAATAAGGTTCAACCTGCATGGACTGGCAAGTAATCAAGGGCTGTCATAAATGTATCTTTAACTTATACTAAAATCATACAAAAGACTTTTTTTTAAGGAGAGGATTAAGAGGCTCTGCATGCACTCTAATAATTATCCTTGCACATAAAACTAATCACCAAAATACTTATTTGTTTTTCAGGAGAATCAACAGATTGAACTTCAAACARCCAATCACAACATCACTTTAGACCAAGAACCATCATTAAATTAAAACATATTAAAACTTAGCTTCTAATATCCAATATGAGTGAAATCTTTCAAAGAYGTATAAATAATAGTTGTTTTGATTTTTGAAAGAGTGCTTTTCGAGTAGTATATTACTATTCTAGAAAAACGGAAGAAAATTGTACAAAATTGTACTCTTGCCTTATTTTTCACTACATTTCTATGTTTTTTTTTTAGAAGTTGAACATTATTGTTCAAATAAAGAAATAAAAAATGATGATTGTAGACACTGTTTGAAGTAGTAGCGGTAGTTTTAGGTCCCTTCCATATTGAAGTCACTTGTAATACTTGTCGACAAGTTTCCTTTTGTAGAATAATCATTCAAATTTGTGTTTAATTAATGCTTTTTCGCTGATGTCCTCTCTGTGCCTTGATAAAAGATTCATATCTGAAACATTTAACTGATCTCCTTGCACAAGGATGTCTTCATCATTACTAAAAATTATCATGTCCCTCTAAAGCTTCACATGATTCTGACCAGATTTACTCTTGCTTTGCCTTAAACCATTCCAAAATCTTAGTCCAACRTACAAAGCTCTGAATTTGAGCCCAAGAAATATCTCCATAAAATGTTTGGCTGAACATGTACAGTCCAAAGAAAATCACAAATAAAGATGACAATATCAGATAAATATCAGTGTCATTTGTAGCCTCACTGCTTACAGGACCAATGTAATCYTCTTCGGTTACATTAATTGTCATGTTGCCTTCTAGACCTAGTGAAATTTGATAAAGCAAATATGTTGATACATGCACTATAGAGCTTGACACACTTTAGGCTGAAATAGGCTGAAATAGAAAATATTGAGCAAAATAACTGTGCAGTTGKCCATGATTACACTGGGTCATTACAATACATTCAATAGAATACAATTCTCCTGGTTTTACAAGACATAATATAATACATAATACAAATACATTCAATACAATACAATAATAATAATAATACGTAATACTTATACATTCAATACAATACATTCTCCTGGTTTTGTTTTCCTAAGGTTTGATTGTACACTTTTCTTCACTGTGCTAGCCACAGTACAGATAAGTGTAGAACCCAACCTCTGGAACCAGAATATAAGACAAAGGATTCTTCTTAAATGTTTTTCAGTAGGGAAAGAGGACATGTATACACAATGTACTCAGCTTGTGAAATAACTTTAATAGTACCTGTATAGTTTTTAACAAATGTTCTCAAATCGTCCAGGGTTTTTGAGTGGTTGAACTTTAACACAGGCTTACCAGCATGGAATATCAGAATGGTCGGTACAGCAACCACTCCAAACCGAGCATTCACACTGAGAATAAGAACAAATCATATATTTATAAACTTGTTAATGTTAATTATGATATCTTAATATAAAGATATCTAGGGCCTCCAAGTGGTTCTGATGTAATTTTGAATCTCTATTTCCGACTCATAAATGTCACTGTCATTATCATGTTTGCATTGCCGCATAACCAGTCTAGAAATAGAACTAGCAATAGATTGTTGTCACTTAACWAATATGCTTTGAGGACAGTTGTCAGTTTTTTAGAAAATATTCATTGACAGCAATCTATTGCTAATTGCAAGTTGTGAATTTGTCTGGTCTAGCTGTGTAAGAATGCAATCAAAGGTACAATGCCACTCATAAGTTAATTTCACTCATTTTTGCTTATTTGTGTTGCCTGTTGGTGTTCTGGAACTACAAGTTCAGAAACTCAGGAGCAATCTTGTTTCTCGCAAAAACAAAAAAAAAACACTTGAAAGGGCATTCCCATTCTACCATTTAGTTTTCATTATCTCATATGTTAAATTCAAAGGTATCGAAAGTGATCTTTTCTTCATGGTATTAAAGTCTTATAGTATTAAACATATTTCAGCATATTTGAATAACCAAGCACCCACCTACTATACTTATAGGCATCAATGGCCAAGACAGGTGTATTATTGTATGCCCGGCCAAACGCGTTGAATTGAGGCGCTATACTTGCAGAAAAAGGACAAAAMCGAGCATAAAACATCACCACTGCACAACCATCACTAGAGTTACTMGTAGAATTGACCCATTTTAACAAAGACGAATCGTTCACGAGCAAAACTTTCCCTGAATGCTCWGAGTCCATCTGTCTTCCCGAACAGTACCATTTGGGTCGCTTTGAAGTCTCGTTGAAATTCGTTGAATTCGTCCCGTTTAGACTTTCACTGTGAGTTAGATTCAAAGCTGCATGTTTTTCTTGCTCTTTCTGTTTTACATACGACATGTATTTCTTGTAGATTGTGGTATTTTCGTCTTCTTTGCCAAGTATTCGAACACTGACATTTTGTATCACTGTAGCAAATATGAAAGTTTTACATGAAGTCGTTAAATAATCAAGATAATGGAATCAGATTGAACTAAAATTTGGAGTAATAACAGTTCCATTTATTACTTACAATCTGGAAGCCCTGTGTCGTTTTCTATAGCAGCTGTACAGAGAAACACGAACGAGAATGATAACATAATAAAAATCAATGCGTTCGCCATTTTTGTTTTCTATTGCTAAAGCGCATGCGTATACAAAATAAAACAGGGAGCCCAATCACAATAAGGTTTAATAATAATAATAATAATAATTTTATTTTTATACAGCACTTATACAAATCTGCTCTAAGCGCTTTCAAATTACAAACAATTACAATGACAGAGTCATGGTAGACTGCGAGCTTATTTACCAAAGTATTCCTTTCAAAATGCATGTAATAATTTTCATGCAAGCATAATGTGCAAGCTCTAATTAATGAGGGAAATGGGCACGTGGAATGTTCATGCTCAAAGAATGCACCAATGTAACGCGCCCGTGGAGCATGCTCGCCCGTGGAAATGTGTCCAGTGCAGTCAATAGTTTTCTGAACGCTTGTAAGCTTATAGATCTTACGATGTTGCAGTGGAAAGAGAGACTCAAGCAAGAATGGTTGTGGTCACTGCAGTGRTAGAATCTAGAGTTTGCAGGTATGACTAATCATTTTATCGCATGAACTACTTATATAAGCTTAACTTTCTTTGTTTTGAATCTTTATTTTAACTACTTCTTGCTTATCTTCATTTTTGTTTCATTTTAATTCATTGTCATCTTTCTTACTTATATACTAGCAACTTAGTTTTTTCGAACATTCCCGTTGAGCCAGGCTGCTTTCTGCAGCCGTTTTCGTAGCTTCGTTGTCATTCATCGATCCTGTAGTTTTGTAAGCCAACCAAAAAAACGGCGTAAGTTTCGTTTATCGGTGGTCTACTTGCACTCTTTTTGAAATTGAAAAGCTGGGACATAATTCTTGTTCATAYCTTATCGCATCGGCCATGTCATCATGTTAGAATGGTCCTAATTTAACCGGTTGAAATGAATTTATACRTAAGACTTATAAGTACTACTATGGCTGATGTGTATGCTCTTTTTATTGCCCTTTGACACTTTCTTTCATGGGTTAATTAAAACCACTCTACCAACATCGTAGCTTTCACGGCTCTCGAAATTTTCTGTACTTTTCTTGTGAGTCAAAAAGGGTTTGACCTGTCGGGTGGGGTGGCAAATCCACCATCGTTTCTTTACTCTCGAAGGGGTGGATGGGAAGGATTCACGCGCCAAACGACTACATAATTACGTCATTAGGCTGTATGTCCACGGATATAAGGGTATAAAGTTTGAATTCTTTTTGTTTCGTAATGTCATATTTTAGGGAACGTAGACCATCTTCGTTCATGTACTCTTTGCTTTCACTCAACAACTGGTGCCTGTCGGAGATAAAATTCAATAGATTATTTGCGACTGAYTCAAGCGCGTTGCTTTGAGAAGTACAGAACAGGTCAGAACAAAAGAAATGGCAGCCAGATGGGTGTAGGCTTGTGACTGGTCTTGAAAAAACTTCGGAGCAAATTCGGAGATCATTCGGTGATGATTATGATGACCGAATGTGATGTTCAGTAATGATGTCAATATAATAATAGAGCCATTTTAAAAAGCTCACCTTTGTGGATTCGTTTCTACACTTTTTTCGTGTTTTATCATTGTGTAACGGCCAATCTGGTAAGCTGGCCGCGTGAGGCCTAGGGACTTCTTTTCCATGACTCTAAACAAAATATTTGTGATTAGAAATAATAAATTACTTTTAGTTATTTATAATATTGCTTTTGCTACACTGACCTGAATATACRAGGAAATGAACGATGTTTAGGCTTTTACGCAATACTGGTGTGAGTTCTCGCGCGCTGATTGGCTGATTAAAGTATGTCAATCAAGGCCAAATACAGTGACACCATCACGTCTCGCGAGCGTTCAATTCAATGAATAAGAACGGATAAATTTCGCTAAAACTGTTGGTGGGTCTMGTGGGTCCAATTGAGTTTTGAACAGTTTATGACGTCAAGATGAGTTTGTCAATAAGAGGACATACAACCCAAAACTTTGCACAATTTGTTTAGTCCACCTTTTTATGGATCTACAGTATTTTTCGCCCCTATTACATGTGCCACACGAACAGTAAAGACGTGCACCTCCCCATAACAATGTCTTGAAGTATAGAGAAGCACAAAAAGATAAGGCCACGCCAGGTAAGAATTAAGCTGCAGATTTAGTGACATACCGCACATACAGATCGTCATCTTCTCCTCCCCAACCCCAGTATCTGTTGGGGAATCCATTTGTCAAGCGAAAGTGATCGGGCCAGAAYGCCTCRACTCCTCCAAATATTTTCTTGTAGCCCAATCTATATGATTTAGAGCAAGTTAATTCTAAACACTGCTAGTAACTAATGAAGGAGTGGTGAATATACTGCCGAATCAACAGCATTTCCTGTCCTAATAATGCATATATATCAATGGCCGATTCCCWTTGAAGCGGGTTRAGAATCCTGAGTAGGGGAAGGGGCATGCACTCCAATCCCATTTCCCAAATTTTGACCAATTCCCATTCATTATAACTMAGTAAAAAAACATTCCAGCTGTTTGTTTAAAATACCATTTCCATTTTCTATCATATTCTGTTCTTAGTTATAAATCCCAGTCCCACTGAGGCAAGTTTTATTTTTAAAAAAGCAAAACTGAACAAAGCAAAAAATAAAAAAATGCTCTTCCCACTTTGCTTCAGGACTCTTCAAAACCCTCCATACGGATAAAATACGYGCACAAAATCACGCACCCCTATCACCTCCCATGATCCCCTGGGAGAAGTACTTCTGCCTGGGTCTGTTAACACGCGAGCACTAGCTAAACATACTTGTAATCCATAGTATCTACGGCAGTTGACATGTGCCTGGGCGATGATGGACAGCTGTAGTCATTTCTGTCGTCTTCAGGTAGCAAGTCGACATCGTGAAAGATCACACAGTCGTATTTATCTTGTTTAAGCGCTTCCTCGAACCCAATGTTCATCAGCATGCCACGATTGAATGCACGTTGGGAAGACTGGGGAAATAGTKGGGGATTCATAAGATTGCATGATACATACCATACCTGATCTGAAGACTATTTAAGATATTGAGATTGATCGATTGATTGATTGACTGATTGATCGATTGATCGATTTGTCTTGATTGATTTGGTTGATTGATTAAAATCATGTTTTTTCTTGTTGTTGCTCAGTTGCTTTTTGCCTGATTAAATTCATTAAAAAAATACTAAGAAATGAAATATACCTGTTCAATAACGTAGATCTTGTAATCCAAAAGCTGCCATCTTAGAAATCGATGCATGTGAAGTAAAAACAACATGAGATGCTGCTCACGATCGCGAAATGGTACAACGATAGCCACCTAGATAAAAAAAAACTGAACGATCATTATCCGGTAAACTAAATTAAATTTTATTAACAAACTGAGGAGTTTTTGATCGACTTCATCATAAGTTAATCCGGGAAGTTAAAGACTGTTGGCTAAGGCCGACAGAAAACCATTTAATTGTTTAATAGTCCAGCATCAGTTTGATTAAAACAAACCTTTTTGGCCAAGCACGAAGTTGGCTTCCATGTTCCTCCTTCATTGACAAAAGTAAGCTCRTTTTCGATAGCCCTCATTGACGACGAGACTTGTTCTTCAGAATGCGCAAAATGTAGTCCTCCAACTAAGAGGAGACATATAACAATTAAAATTTATTACTCTTGGACGTTATTTGTGTATTAAAGCAAAACTACAAATATCAGCCATTTTTAAATGATTGTCGCTCATTATTTTCTTAAGTAGTTTTTGAATTCGGATTTTGATCTATTATTGTTTAAATGTATGATTGAGTAATCTCCACTGACCCCTTTTGAGACGAGGGCACGTCGTCAATGCTCCATCTTTGATACGGGATTTTTTCTCTAAACGATCAATTGTTTCCATAAGTTTTGCAAGWTTTTTTTTCTTGGTTTCAGTCTCTGTTCGTTCCGTCGTAACAATCRGTTTTATTGTTGACGTAGGTTGATCCATTTGTTTGTCGTTTCTGAAGTTAAACAGAAAATCCTCCATTTTTCTTGCAATGCCTGTGGAATCAATTTCATCTTCAGCGCCTTGTRTTGTRAATGGCAATTTGGATTTTGCTAAATGTGAAATTGTGGAGTTTACTCTTTCGGGAATGCTGACGATATTTGCCAAATGTGCAACGCTGTTTTCGTCTTTGTTTCCAATCTGTTCAAGTGTGATTTTCCGGATTTCATCTTGTAAAGTTTGAAGTGTATCATSTTTCTCGTAGGTTATTTTTATAATTGGYAATTTYTTCATGACAAGTCCATACAGAAAAAAATATGCTATACTTCCAAGAAATAATRTCGCGTAAAGCACTTTCATGAGATGCATTTTKTCAAATTATGCGGCATTGTTCGTTTTGGAACTTTTGCAGCCGCGCGAGTCCAATCGCATGGAAACTGAAAGTTGTTCGTGAAGAATGTYTGAATTTAGTTTATGACAATGTATTCCCTCTGAATAAATAGGTAGCCAAATTTGACAAAGTGACAATAATCTGGCTTTTTTACTAAKTTTAGGACGCTTTCTTYAGTGGTCTTTTTTTTCAGTAGACTTACTAACGTTTGCTTAGATRTSCACTCGGGCTCCCTGTGGCTGAATTACGGCGATGTAAATATTTTTCGAAGTATTTTTTGTCCATATGTTTACAAAATCAAAATAAAAGATTTAAAAACAAAGAGAATGATAAAATCATTGTAGTTCTTCTTCCAAAGACAAAAGATAGATATAAGTTAACTGTAGCCGATTCAGATCTCCGACTCGAGAAATTCAGACATTATGAAGTACTTTAKACTTCAGCATGAATTTATCTAACTGTTTTCGACAGCCTGTTTACCAGAATATACATATTTAGAGCGGATCTAGTATAAGGATAAAACTAAAAACAATCTAATAATTTAAAATGTRATATATACTTAAAAGTTACCAGGTAAAATCATCGAAGCCTCGTTAGCTCAGTGGCAGAGCACTGGTCTTGTAAACCAGGGGTCGGGAGTTCGAACCTCCCACGGGGCTTCTAGCTCTTTTATTTTTTTTTCTTTCTCTCTTTTATCAAGAAGTTTTCTTTTATTGTTGTTTTATCATTTTCAATAGAGAGTGGAATTTTTTTGTYATCTTTTTTGGTTGAAATATATTTTTTTTGCTGCGGGCCTACTTTCTTTCCGGTCTTTGTCTTTCAAAATAAGCACAGGAATCCCAACCAACTGTTTTGCTACAAAATTYATTTGCATTTTATTTGCTAGACTGATTCCACCAGTCTGTGAGGTCGCAATTTTCTTTTCGCTCCCGGACAGTCGCTAGTTTGAGCGACAAACCGAAAAACCGAGGAGCCGAATGCTACGAGGAATCAGTCTATTTATTTGCAATCAGTATTTTTATGATATGATGTCAAAGAAGTAAGTAAGCTAACCCCCCTCCGAAGCACTAGAAAATAGTTCTTACTCCGCCTGCTATATTAGAAATAACCATTCTTTCTTATTGTCATCATTTCATCAGTAGCACAAAACAACAACAACAAAATATACAAAAAACGTTTTTAAACGTTTTCCAATGATATTTCATTTGATACAAAAGTTATAATCACTCGAGCATGTGCTATGGAATTGGTTCATATCCAACTTATTGTCTAAATTTCAAGATTGCTGTTTAGGTGTAGAATATGTTAAATGGCCATGGACCACCTGCATTCRATACAGTCGGAACACACCAACACTGAAGCTACTGAAAATGAGCCGATAGCTTCACAGTTCGAAATCCGTTTCGATCCGTCGGTTTAAAGGTCGAATTCTACAATACATTAATAAAAGTAACTTACGTTAAATCCTCGAAAAAAAAAACACAAATTAATCCAGGGTCTCTTCGGTTGAAATAAAACAACTACTATAAGAAAGAGCTATGCAATTGACTATGGCTTAACTAAAAGATTTGTTTCAAATTGTCAAAAAAAGTATACGTATATTACAAGTCGGCATCGGTGGCTGAACAGCAATTCTGTTCTGATATATATGTCCTACAATGCTTCCCGAAGTGCCTAAAACTGATCAGACACAAGACTTTTAAATAGAATCAGTGTCGAGGGCAAATAGCCACTTTGAAATCCGCTGGTCGTAAGGTAATACCAAATATGGCATCGTTGACACTTGGTAGACCAGCATGCTTATCGGCCACTACTCTGAACTTCTGCAAAAWGCGAGATGTAAATAGAAACGCCTCCATTTTCGCCATAGCTTCTCCAGGRCACTTGCGGTGACCAATTCCAAAGGCCACCACGTTASAACTGCGCTCAACACTAAAGGATCCATTCTCGTCAAGGAAGCGTCCCGGGACGAAATCYTCAGGGTTCTCCCAGACCTCRGGGTCACGATGGATGGCGTACACRTTRATTAACACCATAGTAYCTTTAGGCACGTTGTAAGSACCRAGYARMGTGTCATTGATTGTCTTGTGGGGGATCCCCARRGGCATARCACTTGWATAGCGMAAAACTTCGGCAATGAACGCTTCCAAATATGGGAGTTTTTTGCGGTCCTCCCATTTTGGGCGKAGATCTGGRCYTATGACGTCRTCGATYTTGCGTTGAAGACGTTGCTGGATTGAAGGRTAYTTTGCCAGGAARTACAAAATCCAGAGAAAATTYWTAGTTGGGGTATCACTTCCGGCTGCGATGACATCATTAATGGTCATGATGATGTGGTCATCGGTTAGCCTGTATTCGGGATGAGCCTYGGGGTCGTCGCTGGATTTCTTATACGTCATATCGATCAAAAACTCTGTYAGGTCACCAGTTCYMMAWGTTTCTTGGTCTTCAAAGTCAGATTTATGATCGTTAAATTTCTTRTTGAGGATTCTATCGCGTACCWTKKCASMATGTTTGAYATCSTTRATGGMAGTGAATGGAAAATGCTTCAAAAATGGAAATGTATCCACAATAAAACTGACATTTTTTGAAGGTCCTAGATTAGCAGAGAAGGTCCTGATAGCATTCATCAGTTGCCAGAACTCGGAATCCATTGGGTCCTCATACCGTTTTCCAAACGATAAAGCAGATACGATGTTTCCAAAGGAAAAAYGCACATCCATGTAAGGATTAACTGATGCGCCACGCGTCTTTGCAATTCGAGAGATCAGCTCGTCGACCTCCACGGCAATTAAATCCTCCATTTTGTTTTCTTTTCGGATATATTCCTTAAGTTTCGACACGATAGCTTTGTATTGGATTTTCCAAGCTTCTGTGTACGTCTGAAAGCCGACATCTTTACTGTTTCTTGAGAATATTTCTCCAACAAAGTTCTGTGGTCTGCCAGCAAACGCGGTCCCTCGTTTGAGCATTGCTTCTTTGGCAAACACACAGCTATTAATCACAACAACGCGGTTCCATCCCATCCAAAGACGATAAACGGGGCCATACTTGCGTGCTAGTCTTGACATATCCAGGTAGGGCTTGCTGGAGAGAAGATGGAGGTTTCCGATGAATGGAAGTGGGAATGGTCCTGGYGGAAGCCTTGACGACGCCTCGCGGTAGACATTGAAGAGTTGAAAGGCAATATAACATGCGAAAGCAAAGGAAAACAAAATGTAGACATTGAAGAGGTGATTGACAATGTAGCATGCGACAGCAAAGAATAACAAAATGTACATATTGAATGCTTTGTAAATATAAAGTGATAGTGCTCTTAATGTGTTATGTCTTGCCTTCATTGTCGATTCATTGGCTATGGTCTCAGACTGGTAAACGTTTTAGAATTATGCTTCATTGCCTTTTTTGCCATAAAGACAGAATCCGCCGTCACGATTCAATTCTCACATGGAACAAACAGGAAAAATGCCATTGAAGCAACGAATAATTCTAAAACGTTTACCAGACCAYAGCCAACTTACACAAGATATATACAACAAACGTAACACATTCACTTTACATTTTACCACACTTGTAATTGAGTCATGTATATACTGCAATAAGTGGAAATAAACAAATCTATCATCTATCTAAAGAAAATATCACTTTATCGATAAGGAATACATTCAATATGTGCATTTTGATTTGCTGTCGCATGATTGGTTTTCTAAGTAATATATACAATATGAGCGGGCGATCTGTATGTAATATACAACTCTCTTCATGGGCTATGATTTCTATTGTGTTTTGCCTTATGAATATTAATGAGTTTAATAATTTTACTAATTTCGAACATAAATGTTTGAAGACCAAATTTTGACGTTTTAGCAAATAGTTTTGCTAGTTTATTTTTGCTCGGAGTATGGTTTTACTTTCTCAGTACATGGACACAAGGAAGTACGGAATTATCAAATAAAGTATACATATTAACATAAATTTTTAAAATTTACAATTTTAGTCAAAGTAAACTAACAGCTGATGGGAACCTGTGCTAATAACAACATATGAAAGTTTGAAATGAAAATATTAAATTCTGGTGAAGTTATAAGGATTTAAAATATATCATAACACCAGAACGAGGCTATAAAGGCCTTGGTTGAAAATTACATACATTTCTTGTATTTTCATTTGGCCATAAATTTGTTCRCATTTTATCCAGGGCTGTAAAACTTTCCAAAAATGTTTATTTCTGGTAGTTTATTCACATGACAGTGAGAAAGTTTTCAAATATTTCATATTAAGAAACAAATAGACAGACAGCCATTGGTGGAAAATTACATACATTTCTTTGTATTTACATTTCACCATAACTTTTTTCCAAATTTGTCTAGAGTTCTAAAATGTTCCAAAATCGTTTATTTCTGATAGTTCTTTGATGTAACAGTGACAAAATGATATTCATATCTATTTTATTTTGGAAAAACACAGTTGCAGCCATTATGGTAAAGGTGTAAGGGAACGTGCGTATGTGAGTAAGGGAACGTGCGTAAGGGAACGTGCGTACGTGCGGAAATTATGTTTTCCAACAAATGCTACCATACTACTACTTTATGTCAACTTGATGAGAAGAAACTCATATCTTTTGTTAGATTTGTCAAACAATATCAAGATCACATTCAATGACAAAACAAAACATAGTTTCTAAGTATAGTTTAAAACACGATCTCGAGCGTTTTAAACGGCTTAAAAAACTCCAACACTAATTTGAAACTCAAATCCGTTAACATTCTTGGAGAAATTGCTGTACAAATATGTTCAGAGATAATAGGGCAAACTGATCATGCGCAAATCACTTTACAAAGCACTCTTGTCATCCCACGGCATTGAATACGCATAAAGTAAAATAGAACCGCTCTTGGCTGTCCACTGAAATCGGTTGACATCCTGCATTGGTCAATGATCAGGTTTCAAACCTGAGACCTTTGCTAGGGTCATGGACCTTTATATCTGATATACTAATAAGGAGTGTTTTATCAGATATAAAGGTCCATGCATGTGACCAAATAGGCTCATTCTATTGGCCTAGTAACTCATTAATTATGTATGAGTTTTTTAAACAAAAGTAATACATTGTAGTACTCCTATTACACATAGTGCTTGTTATCCAGATCCCGCAACGTCTTAACATTTTCGCAATTAATTAAGCAATTTTCAGTCGACAGTTTCGTCTTCTTCGCAGTTTGGAACAAATCATATCAAATGCACTCTTAGCAATCCCATAGCCTGTTTTATTCAATCTGAATTTATCTTTTTCGTGGCTGTTAAATTCCACTTAACCAATCAATTGGATTGGTTAAAAGTACCGCGTAAAAACCTACTTAATAGGCCTAACTGAACCAAAGCTAGAAACGAAGAGATCTGCGCGCGCGTAAGAGATTGGCGAATAGTAAAAAAAAGCTGTCAAATTTAACTAATAAACGCGGCTGATATTTGACGCCTAGAGCTATGGATCTGTCGACATATGCAAGAGGTAAAAAAGGGTCTTCAGACCATGGCCAAATAAGATTTTACTGTTTATTCATACTGTAATTACCAAATTCAACCTCACTCTAATATAATGCGTTTCACTTGTGTAGGATAGTTTACAGTTCGTATAGGTGTTTGCCATCAGATGTGCGGTCATCACAGTCTTCTGATGTTGTATTTTCTTCGCTTTTTTTGGATATATTTATGTATTGCTGGATATACAGCCTTTTGCAAAAATTATGAAAATTGTCTAAATATCTAAATATCATAGTATCCATATCCATATATTGTCCGGAACACGCGGGTTTGCTAGAATAATTCATTGTTGACATCGAGAAAATGTTCAGAACTACGGATAAGTCTGTCGCCTAAAAAAACAAAAACTACAAAGACAAGGGTCCAAGGGCATCGCGCGGGATTACCCATCATGCACTCGATATTATGATATTTCGATATTTCAACAATTCTCATAATTTTTGCAAAAGACTGTAAAAGAGTTGAAACCAATAACCATTAATGTTTTGTGAAAGTTTTTTTTCTGATCAAAGAAAAAACATTTCTCCTGGTAAAATTGAACTGAAGGAAAACACGTCAGTCTCKCAGTAAAAAAGCCACTTTGAAATCCGCTGGCTGCAATGTAATGCGAAATGTAGCATCAGTGACGCTTGGTAGACCAACATGCTTATCGGCCACTACGTTGAACTTCTGTAAGATATGAGATGTGAACAGAAAGTTCTCCATCTTTGCCAAGGCTTCTCCAGGACACGAGCGGTGACCGATTCCGAACGCAACCATATTGGAACTGCGCTCAATACTGAAGGAACCATTTTCGTCCAGAAACCGGTCTGGGGAGAATTCTTCAGGGTTCTCCYAGACSTCAGGGTCATGATGGATGGCGTACACATTCATTAACACCGTAGTACCTTTAGGCACGTTGTAAGGACCGAGTGAAGTGTCAGTAATGGTCTTGTGGGGGACCGCAAGAGCATTAAAACTTGTAAAACGCAAAACTTCCGCGATGAAAGCTTCCAAATAAGGGAATTTACGGCGGTCCTCCCATTTTATTGGAAAAGTCGGATCCGTGACGTCATCGATTTTCCGTTGGAGACGATTCTGGACTGAGGGGTACTTGGCCAGAAAGTACAAAATCCACAGAAAGCTATTAATCGGGGTATCACTTCCGGCTGCAATGGCATCATTAATTGTCATAGTAATGTGGTCTTCGGTTAATCTATACTCTGGTACAGTCTCGGGGTCTTCGCTGGATCTTTTGTACGTCATATCGATCAACAGGTCAGTAAGATCACCAGTCCGTGAAGCTTGTGTTTCAAAGTCCAATTTATGTTCGTCAAATTTCTTGTTGAGGATTCTATCGCGTACCATAACAGCATGTTTGATACTCTTGATGATGGCGAACGGAAAATGCTTCAAAAAAGGAAATATGTCGACAATAAAACTAAGAAATATTTCGCAAAGTGCTGATAATTTATCTGCACTTTGCGAAATATTCGTATTATTGCTTAAAGTACCATATTGACAAAGTTTTCTATTCATACCTGCATATATTGGGACCATTTCGTGCCTTCAAGATCAAATAGGAGCTACTCTTCACGAGATTTGAAGAAGAACTAAGCGACGCGCAAATCGAAGACTATCCTCGATCCGGCGCCATTTTGTTTTTTTTCCACAGGGAATCCAATTTGTAAAAACACAGGGTGACCAGAGAGGAAATATTTCGCAAAGTGCTGATAATTTATCTGCATTTTGCGAAATATTTCGCAAAGTAATGATGATTTATCTGCACTTTGCGAAATATTCGTATTATTCATATTGACAAAGTTTTCTATTCATACATGTATATATTGGGACCATTTCGTGCCTTCAAGATCAAATAGGAGCTACTCTTCACGAGATTTGAAGAATGAAAAGAACTATGCGCCTTGAAAACATAGATTTTAGATCCGGCGCCATTTTGTTTTTGTTTTGTTTTTCCACAGGGAATCCAATTAAATAGTTTATAGCCTGTGTACATCATTCTGTTTCTCACCCCTCCAAAAAAATAGGTTTTGGAGGGGTGAGAAATGGATGTACACAGGCTAGATAGTCCCAGCCAGCTGTAAGTCACAACTGGTTGCCAGCGAGATTCAGGAGAAAAGTACACTCCAGGTAAGAAATAGTTTCTAAGAATTTTTGCCAGGAAAATAATTAAAAATTTTCTAACTAAAAAAAATATAAGCCGCTTTTGATCATAAAAACGTTTGCCAGGAATANACTCAATGCCACCTAAAAATCATGAACTTTGTGACAAATTTTCAACATCAAATAAATAAGAATCAATGTTCTAGAGGTTCTAAAAATATTCAGTACATTCAAAAGTGTGGTTCTATGGTTTTACTTTGTTCATAAATCCTACACAAAGACCAAAAAAAAGAAATAAAACACGGTACTCACGCTTAATATCGATGATTGCTCTTCAGATGTCTCTGCCAACTTTGTTCCGGAGCAAAAATGCGAAAAAAACGTGCAAATATAGCAAATTTGGTACGAGAAGAAAGCTCAAGAAGCGAATAATCGTTTTGTCTTTGTCACGAAACACACATACTAGCTCCCAGGCTTAAATGGGCCAATAAAACTACAGGCATACCAGCTTCGGAATGAATRAACTCCGGCCGAGCTCAATTCTCTCCTTAAAAGACTGGGATGTAGTGGACATTGGGTGGCTGATAAAGGGGTATTAATTTCCCAGCGTGTTGGCGGCTTGATTTCCAAATTTGTCTAGAGTTCTAAAATGTTCCAAAATCGTTTATTTCTGATAGTTCTGTAAAGGGGCTCGAACAGCCATCAGTGATTTCAACGTAAATTATACTAGTTGTCATAACAACAACAATTTGCCAGTAAGAACTTAATTATTATTTCCAGTGGTTCGCTATCTGTTGACCTTGAACAACACCTTAGTTCATCACTCTATTTGAACAACTCCAACACTAATTTGAAACTCAAATCCGTTAACATTCTTGGAGAAATTGCTGTACAAATATGTTCAGAGATAAATGGGGCAAACTGATCATGCGCGAATCACTTTACAAAGCACTCTTGTCATCCCACATTGAATACGCATAAAGTAAAATAGAAGCCCTCTTGGCTGTCCACTGAAATCGGTTGACATCCTACATTGGTCAATGATCCAGGTTTCAAACCTGAGACCTTTGCCAGGGTCATGGACCTTTATATCTGATAAAGGTCACCCTTATAAAGAATACTAATAAGGAGTGTTTTATCAGATATAAAGGTCCATGCATGTGACCAAATAGGCTCATTCTATTGGCCTAGTAGCTCATTAATTATGTATGAGTTTTTTAAACAAAAGTAATGCATTGTAGTACTCCTATTACACAAAGTACTTGTTATTCAGATCCCGCAACGTCTTAACATTTTCGCAATTAATTAAGCAATTTTCAGTCGGCAGTTTCGTCTTCTTCGCAGTTTGGAACAAATCATATCAAATGCACTCTTAGCAATCCCATAGCCTGTTTTTATTCAATCTGAATTTATCTTTTTCATGGCTGTTAAATTCCACTTAACCAATCAATTGGATTGGTTAAAAGTACCACGTAAAAACCTACTTAATAGGCCTAACTGAACCAAAGCTAGAAACGAAGAGATCTGCGTGTAAGAGATTGGCGAATAGTAAAATAAAGCTGTCAAATTTAACTAATAAACGCGGCTGATATTTGCCGCCTAGAGCTATGGATCTGTCGACATATGCAAGAGGTAAAAAAGGGTCTTCAGACAAAATAAGGTTTTACTGTTTATTCATACTGTAATTACCAAATTCAACCTCACTCTAATATAATGCGTTTCACTTGTGTAGTATAGTTTACAGTTCGTATAGGTGTTTGCCATCAGATGTGCGGTCATCACAGTCTTCTGATGTTGTATTTTCTTCGCTTTTTTTGGATATATTTATATATTGCTGGATACAGCTGTTTGCAATAATTCTGACCCCCCTACACTAATATTCATTCAGCTCGTTCGCCTCGACGGTTATCATATCCTCCATTTTGTTTTGTCGGATGTATTCATTAATATTCGATGCAATAGCTTTAGATTGGGCCTTCCACTTTGCTGTGTAAGTCTGGAAACCTACATCTTTACCGTGTCTAGAAAATATGTCCCCGATAAATGAGTTTTGTGGTCTTCCAGCAAAGTTGGTCCCTCGTCTGAGCATCGCTTCCTTGGCAAATGCACAGTTATTAATCACAACAACGCGGTTACGTCCCATCCAAAGACGATAAACGGGACCATACTTGCGTGCTAGTCTTGCCATATCCACGTATGGCTTGCTGGAGAGGAGATGGAGGTTTCCGATGAATGGAAGTGGGAATGGTCCTGGTGGAAGCCTTGACGACGCCTCGCGGTAGACATTGAAGAGATGATAGACAATGTAACATGCGACAGCAAAGAATATCAAAATGTACATATTGAATGAAAATGATAATCTCCTCACTATCTCCTGGAGATACGTCACCAGGCGTGCGATAGAAAAACTGTTTTCTTTGTACTGAC